CCTTCTTCCCTCCTTCTTTTCTTGCATTTCCGATCATACAAAAATCTCCAGACATTATATATTTTTTGCCAAAAAGTGGGGGGGGGGGCCATGATACTGTAGTGTTGATTATTAACGTCAGTATTCATACACGTAATACCAACACACGTTTTCAACTATGGGTTGCAATCCAAATTTGGGTTGGTAATTCATTTCTGAGGGTCACAAAACTTTTCTAATCAAAAAGGACTTGGGACAGGGGGGTTATGTCAGAACATTAGCAAGAGACTGACCCTACATAATGGTTGTTTTACATTACTATTTCTATAGCGACCCTTGCTACCAATCCAACTCCAAATTACTTCTCCAAAAACATTTTTTTCCTCCCAATTCTTTACCCCTGGTAATCCGACTACTGCAATCACTTTAAGAGTGATAATATTAGATGTTAGCAACTCATTTTCAGTACTGTATAAAAATAATGTAGTTACGACATAAACTCACTTCTTTTAACCTCGTTTTTGTAATTATACTGCTGTAAACTAGGCTTTTCATGTTCCACCATACTGCAAATTCTTGATTCGCAAGCTCTGATACTGTAGGCAACAATGGCTAGAAAAAAATTATAAATATATTTATTTATAATGAGAATGATGAAGTTCAATATGCTGAGGTATAAAAAGTACAGTCTATTCATGTCAAGCACAGTTTTAGCAAGCTCTTGCTACCACAATTTGCAAACTGCGCAAGGAATTCTTTGCACAATTTGAAAATTGAGCACGACTCTGCCCAGTATGCAAACTGTGTAAGGAGAATGTTGTACAGTTTTAAATTGTGTTGACAATTGAGGGGTGGCTGGTGCACATTTTGATACTATTTTAATACTATGTATTAATTGAACAGAATCATTGGAGTCATGTGAAGAAGGTGGATCGTGTGGTGGAGACAGATGGGTAGGTACTACTGTATAGGTGAGGCGAGGGATGGACAGTAGGTGAGGGGAAGGGTGTGGCTGGGGAGGGGTGATGGTTAGGTGGGATCTTACTGTATTTTTGTTAATTTTATAGCATGATGATGACTCTGCCTGGGCCCAGCCTTTTTGTCCAAAAAAAATCAGAAAATAGTTTCCACTGACAATTTTACAAAGTACTGTATAAAGAACACAGAGGCCTACAGTTAAATCAAGTGTCTCAATTATAAAAAAAAGTCTGTTCATTAACAAATAAATTTAAATGTCACATGACTGGTGAGTGCAGCAAAACACGATACAATATTGGAAGATTCCTACTACACTCACCAATACTTCCATCTCCAAAATCAATCGATTTTTTTTCATTGATAATAATTTCAACACCACCGCCACTAGATATGATACTAGGTGTTGAATGAACTACAATATCACCAATTAGTGAAATGTGAACACAGCTTCATTTATGAACAGCAAACTTTCAATGGTCATTTCAATGCAACACAATTCAACTCGAAAACGTGTTGTGATTTTTGCAATAATTTTGTCTGGTAACTGAATTTTTCTAAAATTGCTTCTTCATGGTGTTAATGTATTAGAGATCCCCAGTCAGCAAATTTCCCCAAAAATGTTTTTTTTTTTTTTTTTTCAATATTTGAATAAAACTACACAACTTTACTCTAATTTTAAAACCATGCATGTCTCGGCTACACTGTGCTATTCGACAGGATGAACAATACTAGCATTTTACTAGCATTCTAAACTAGCTTTTAGAATAGTCTCAATGTTGTAATGTTAATAAAAAGTATAACTATGCTTTTATATAATTTTAATTCATTCTCAGAAATACTGTAAAGTAGTATTCCATTATAAGTAGTATTCCATTGTATACTACTACCAATAATTAATAATTACCTTGATAACGAGCCATTTTCTGATACAACTACAATTTGCAACTACGTGTGAATCAATAGGTCTTGCCTAACTTACTACTGCGTAGGTTGGGGACGGCCAAGTTTGTTCTGAAATCTTTGTGGTCATGTGTGTTGTGGCCTGCCAGACTTTTCAGTAAGTTGACAATATGTACAGTATTTCATTTCATGTCCCTTTGCATGTTGTTGCCTACATGTGAAGCATTGGATTTCCTCACTGGATTTCCTTGCCTCCACATATTCGCGACTACTCCCCTACAGAGGTAGATAACGAAGTTCAACACATATGCCAGTGATGCATGATGGAATTTATAGCAGCCTGCTGAAATTTTAAAAATCAACTTATTTTGTCTCTTTTTAACTGCTTATAGTAGGTAGGTGAATATGTTGTATGGCAATAGCAAATATATGTTGTGGGGGGCCAACGAGTATATCATATGACAATTAACTCATTCAAAATTTGCACACAAGGGGGCCTTAATTAATGCTGTAAATGTAAAGACCAATCCATCACATGACATAGTTTTCTTTTTAACTATATCAGCAGACCAAGATGTATTATTATTTTATTATATATTATTATTGATTGTTATTATTATTGTGATGAATCGGAAAGTTTTCCGCTATTCCTTTTGTATTGTTATTGGTATTTGCCTGTATTTGCATAGCAGATGAAGTTTATAATACATTGGCTGCATGAGCATTGTATCAGCAGAAGCATCTAGTTTTGTCCTGATGATGGTGCACCGTTTTAATTCGGTCTAGTTGTAGTCGCAGAGTGTGTGCATGTCACAAAGATTAGTTCTATGAATTTGGTGTTATTGATCCAGGTATTGAGCTCGTTCCTCTAAATAAAAAAATGCTTCAAAATAATTTCCACTGTTTTCATAAACACCCTGTTTGAAAAGCACCCCTCAAAAAGGGCAAAACATTTTTAAGCGACCGGGCTCTTACAGTATTCGTACGAGTACGGTATTTAGGCGGTGATAAACTGGTTTTTACTGTGTGGCTTACTATACAGTAGATCAGAATAAAGTGGCAGTGATTGCAGTCTATCTTAAATGTATTTTGTTCTTCTGATGCATGGGTATTTGATTGTCATCCACTAAACCTCAGTGGTTGAATCTAGATCAAATCAATACCGAGGCACATATCCTTATTTTTTATTTTAAATTTCTGTAGGCTAGCCATTGACTGAGTGTTAGTTATCAGGTCAGGCATCAGGTCCGGCCATTTGCGTGAAAAATCGCTAGGAAAATAATTGAGGAATCGTAAAAATATAAAAATAAATACATTTTCAGGCTCTATCTCATAGTCCAATTTGGAATAATTAGGCTACCACCCTACCACTCGGCCTAGGCTAGGCCTTAAATATGTAGCTAGCTACACTAAAGGTTAGTCTTAGGCCCCTAGCTAGGCCTGGCTAAATAGAGAAATCCTCGCCGGCCTCTGGGATATGACTTCTTTGGCCGCCGACACCTTCGGACACGCGAGATTTATATGGAGCGCCAGTTGGGCATTTCTCCACACCGCATGCTGTGGCGGCGTATGCCTAACTTTAAGCCTTTGCTAAACTAAATAATTGCTGTCATGTCGCACAGTAATATTTACATATTTATTTTAGGTATTGTATGTATATACAAAACAAAACGCATTTTTTACTGTATTTTTATTCATATTTCGTCAGTTTCCTTTATCCACAAAATAGAATTTCGTCAAATAAAATTTAGAATGATACACGTGTACAAATTTCGTCCTTTATCCACAAAATAAAACATTTTTTTAAATAATTTTATTTTTATGTCTGTTGTCTGTTTATGTTATCTTTTCATACAAGATCGGATGTAAAATAACACATTAGCGAGGGTGATGAAAGTGTGTTATTTACAAGAGTTGGAAAAAGAAATCTAGAGTAAATTTGTCAATCATTGGTCAATAAAAATTCTTTAGGAATATCTCTCATGCCCTTTATGTACATACACTTTATATCATTAAAGCCAATAAATTACTTTACTCAATCAAATATTTAATTTATTGGTGATTTAAAATTTAGGTCTTTCTATTTACATTATTGAATAGTAAACAAGTGCACATGTAAAAAATGAGATCTATAATCGATAACAAGCAATGATGTTTACCTTTAACAATTATTATCGTCAAAATGTTTAAAAATCTTGCAAATATGTTGCTTGTGTTAACCATGGTGTAAGTGGCAGCGCAAAGTTTGCCATGTTTAATTCGTTAAGATTTTTTCACAAATTATATAATTTTATCACTGAAATACACATTAATATCAATTGTTGCGACATGTTCTGTGTGTATAGATAGGCCTATCTGTAACGCCTCTAATGTAAGCGTGAGTGTTTCTGAATTTGAGGTTAAGAATTGAATAGATATAATAGTGCTCATTCAACCACTGTATATCAGCGTGACAAACAATAGCGCGCATTCAACTTCCAATCGGCAAAGCACTCAAAGGGCGCTCCATACATTTTGGTGTTCGACAGGGCGCGGCCGAAGGTGTCGGCGGCCGAAGTTGGCCTACTAAAGCCGGCCTCTGACCATCTCCAACTGAAGAACCATGCCTAGCATTTCCATCCATTTTAGCAGTACTCATTTCGCAGGATAAGATCCATTAATATAATGATCGAAATACATACTAACCAAGACTATTTAGAAATCTTCAAGGTATTACTCGTAGTCCTGACACCGACATCAACGTAGCCCCAGAAAGAGAAATCAAAGGTGCTCTATAAATAAACAAGCGCGAACTGTGCGAGCCGAACCGGTAGTGACTATCGGCACTGCCGCTGTGCAAAAAAAAAGCTGCTGTTTTCTATCAGCAATGCCGCAGTGCCAAAAAGCTGCTGTTTTCTATCGGCACTGCCGCAGTGCCAAAAAGTTGCTTGTTTTCTAGCGGCACTGTGCCACAGTGCGAAAACCTGCTGTTAACAATCGATGTTTCTATCGATATAGTCTGGTTGTAAAAATGCTGAAATGAACTTTAGCGGGAAAAAAGTAAAGGAAAATTAATTTTTGGTTTTTCTGAATCAGCATACCCTATAGTGTCTCAGAAAAAA